CGATGCCACTGTCATCGAGTTAGCTTGGATTGCAGCCCAACTTCAGTTCTCCTATAGGTTTGTCCCACTAAATCACACCCTGGGGAATCATCCCATAACCGCCATTATACATTATTACAAAGCTGCCAAACGACCGAGCGTCACGACCCAGTCACACTGACACATCTTTTGTGTGGACTTTAATCAATCCATGACGGCTTCTTTCTCCTCTTTCACCTGTTTTTCTCCCTCCCTCCTCATTTCCTTCTTTCTCTCACATAGACAAAAAGAGATATTTTTTCAGGTGAGGAATTTTCCCAATAACCACTAATATCAGTCCTGGGTTTTACCTTTTCCTAAGTGTTTTCACCCACATCATGTGCTCATCTCTGATCATAACAATCCTACTCAAAGGCAGGTATTCTTACCCCCTTTGGCAGATGAAAACTCAACTTGAGTAATGACCATGGGAACATAATAGAAACCAAGTCAACAGGTGTATATTCAGTCAATAAATATTTATTATGCACTACACATATGGGGGATATCATTGCTGATGTCAGATGGGTCTTGGCTGAAAGCAGAGAATACCAGAAATATGTTTACCTGTGTTTTATTGACTATGCAAAAGCATTCGACTGTGTGGATCATGACAAGCTATGGACAACATTGCAAAGAGTGGGAATTCCAGAACACTGCCTTGTGCTTATGGAGAGTATATATATAGATCAGGAGTCAGTTGTTCAGACAGAACAAGGGGATTCTGAATGGTCTAAAATTAGGAAAGACATGTGTCAGGATTGTTGCCTTTCATCATAATTATTCAGTCTATATGCTGAGCAAACAATCTGAAAATCTGTATTATATGAAAAGAATGTGGTTTCAGGACTAGAGGAAGACTCATCAACAATCTGCATTGTGCAGATGATACAACCGTGCTTGCTGGAAGCAAAGAGGACTTGAAGTACTTGCTAATGAAGATTAAAGACTATGGCCTTCAGTATGGGTTGTACCTTATATAAAGAAAATAAAAATCCTCACAACTGGACCAATACATAACATCAAGATAAATGGAGAAAAGATTGAAATTGTTAGATATTTCAGTTTGCTTGGATTCACAATCAACAACCATGGAAGCATCAGTCAAGAAACTGAAGGATGTATTGCATTAGGCAATTCTGCTGCAAACAACCTCTTTATACCATTAAAGAGTAAAGATGTCAGTTTGAGAACTAAGGTGTGCTTGACCCAAGACATGGTATTTTCAATCACCTCACGTGCATGAGGAAGCTGGATGATGGCTAAGGAAGGCAGGAGAAGAGTAAATGCATTTGGATTATGGTGTTGATGAAGAATATTGAGTATACCATGGACTTCCATAAGAATGAACAAATCTGTTTTGGAAGAAGGAAGACTAGATTGCTCCTTGGAATGAGCAATGGCAAGACTTCATCTCTCATACTTTGAACATGTTGTAAGGAACAACCAGTTTCTTGGAGAAAGGCATCATGCTTGGTAAAGTGGAGAGTCAGCAGAAAAGAAGAATCTCAACGAGATGGATTGACCCACAGGCAACAACAGGGGGCTCAAATTTACCAGCATTTTTAAAGATGGTGCAGGACTGGGTAGTATTTTGGTATTTTGGACATAGGGTTGCCATGAGTCGGAGCCGACTCACCAGCACCTAACAACAACAACAACATGTGCCAGGACTTCTACCCACCACTGGAAGTACAAAGATGACCAAGACAGAAGCCATCTTTGCATTCCTGGAGTGGACCATTTAGTAATAAAGACAGATGTTTAAATAAGCAATTGCAAAACAAGTAGGAATTCCAACAAGGGAAAAATTGCAAAGCTGTCTGGAGACAGAGCAAGAGGACCCTAACCTAGCCTAAGTTCATGAGCGCCCCCTACCACAACTACCACAGAAACTTTCATCACCAGCGTGTGATCTTTGGGCTGAGACCAATAAGATGAATACACATTGGGGAGATGAGTGCAGAGAGGTAGAAAAGCCCAGTAAGAGAATATAGTTCTATCCAGGAACTAACAATAATTCAGCTTGCTGAGTCAGAGGGCAGGAGAAGAATGAGAGAACATGGGAGAGGTAGCCAGGAGTCAGCTCATGGAAACACTTCCAACAGACAACAGCTTGAATCAGGACTTGCATGTTTTCCAAGACCATCTTGGCTGCAGCATGAATTCTGGTTTGGAGAAGAGAAGTTCTGGACCCTGTAGTACAGGAGCGAGACGACAATGGTCCATTCTGGAAGCAGTAGGAGAGGCAGGGACAAATGTAGGGTTATTGTACATGTTATATTGTGCATAGGGTCGCTATGGGTCAGTACCAACTCAATGGCACCTAACAACAACAACATTGGTAAGGAACAATCTTCAACATACATTGTTACATTAAAAAAAGAGCGAGTGCTCTTTTTCTTAGATATTGTTATTAGTTACCAATGAATTGGCTCTGACTCAGGACAACTTGACGTGAATGAGGAAACATCGTGGGTCCTGCGTCAAGGTCATGACTGTTGGTGTGCTTGAATTCATTGTTGTGCTAATTGTGTCCATCTCATTGACCATTGATTTTGCCAAACATTATGTCCTCTTCCAGTGGTTGGCCTTTCTTAAAAGCATGTCCAAAGTACACGAGATACAGTCTCGCCCTTCTCTCTCCTAAGGAATATTCTGGAAGTACTTCTTCCAGGACAGATTTGTTTGTTCTTCTGGCAGTCCATGGTACTTTCAATAGTCTTCACCAACACCACACTTTCAATATATCCATTTTCCTTCTGTCATTCTTTTTTAATGTCCGACCTTCCCATGCATATGAGACAATTGAATAGATTGTGTTTCACCATAGTATTTATATGAGGGGGCTTAAAAATGCTATCTTTTCATTTCATTTTTCACAAACTTTTTGAAGCCCCCTCATATGTACTCTTAAGACAAATACACACATGCATATACTCGGGTGGTATGGCATATTCTTGAAAGAATAAACAGTGAACCTTCATGGGTGACCGTCCCAGGAGAAAATGAATAGCTGGATAGTAGGAGCAAAGTCAGACAGCTTACTTTCCCTGTATGTGCTTTTTGAACTTTGTACCCATCATGTGTTACCTAGCTAAGCCTCGCTGGTTTTCAGAGGACATGTGCTTGCTGGCAGGGCATTGAGACAAATGTTGCGATCAATGGCAGGACACAAGTACCATTGCTTGTCCTGCTGTTCCCGGTCCTGCTGGAGGAGCCAGTTTGCTGAAGAAGGAGAGCTGTTTTGCTGGGAAATGTTGAGTTTCCAAACCCAACCCAACCTTTTGAATCAAGCTTAAAGTTCTGTAAAATGCCTGGTAGAGGTGTCCAAGCTCTTATTTGAATGTATGGGGACAGTTTGGAGCTGTAGATAGTAAGTGGGATTCCCCAGCTTGGCAGAGCTGCCCAAATGAAGAAGAAAGCAGGGAGTCTTGGTCAGAGCCTTGTGGACCGAAATGTTGGAAAGCAATGCCAACTCACAACAGGTGGAGATCCCAGCATGAGCTAGGCAATGTAAATTAGTGCTGAGAAATCTGACTGGAATGGGGAGCAGAAGGCACAGGGCTGAAAGAAGAGGTAGGCGGGAGAGAGGGCATTTGCAGCTTCTTGAAAAATGAAGAAGAACCAAGTGTATGCATTTACTGGCAGTTTCAGCTGGTGGAAAGGGAGAGGTTGAGAATGCACTCATGAGGAGTTAGAAGCAATAGCGATGAACACAGGTCCAATGCCAGAGACAGACAGACAGACAGACACAGAGAGAAGGGGTCTGGACACTGAGGGGAGCTCAGCTTAAACTGGAGTGAAAGGAGACAAAGAAGGATTCTGGTGACTATTGGAACGTATTAAATTCCACGCCACCTCTGTCTACCAAAGTGTACACACGTGCATGTAAAGGAGTTTGTGTACAAGTGTGAATGCAAACGTGTGTGAAATTCTGTGTGTTTACACACAGTTGTGTGTACACTTGTGTTTCATGCATGTGCATGTATGTGCTTGGGAGTGTATTGTGCACCCATGTATGTGGTCCCCATTGTTGGGCATGGGGCTATATACGTATACACTTGTGTGTCTTGTTGGTGTCATACTGTCTACCTCTTTGCTAGTCCAAACCACAATCCTCTTGAAGCTGTCATGGCCTTGAAGTGAAGGTGATGAAAGGGACAGAAAGAGAGGTGAAAGACTGGGGACCAAAAGGGAGACTGTCCATGAGTCATTGCAGCAGATGCCTGGGGTGCAACCCCCCCTGCCCCCAGCGAGGGCGCCCTGTTCTCTGTCACATTCTTACCCCACAACTTCTCACAGGACACAAGGAGGTAAGGAGGAGAGGTGACCATGGCAGGAGACCCAGGGTGACACCTATCATCTGAGGAGCTCCTGATGATTGAATAGGAAGGTCACATGGAAGAAATGACTGAAGGGGCCTCATACTGAAAACCATACCAGGATCCACATTGAATGCTAATACTTCCTGACACCAAGCCTCAGAGAGCAAGGAGAAGGAGCTACTTCCTGCAGCTTTCTAGTTTGGGGTTGGGCCTATGGATGAAGAGAGTTTCCTTAGGGAGTGGCGACAGAGAACGAGCCACAAGCTCCCAGCTATGACTGACTTTTCCATACTCAACTCTGTGGAACCAGACAGGCTTCCAGACATGCCACCAGCGTGGGTCAGAAAGATACATGGCCTGGGAATTCGCCCATCATCCCTTCCGCACATCCATAGTCGCTGTGTCCAACTTTGTACCAAAAGACACCTCTGCATCCTGAGTTATGGAGATTCCAAGAACCCAGAAGTTGGTGGCACCATAGTCTCCGTTGTTTGATGCCAGAAATGTTGACATGCAGGTGAGATATGACCTCCAGGAACAATGCTCTCTATAGCCTCCATGACTGACAGGCATGGAAGGTTCTGCCTGATTAAGTGTCATCTCTGCTAAACCCACAGGCCACCTGGACTTAGGTCAAGCATAAAAAGACCCTCATCATATATGGTAGACTCTCTCCTCTCCATCCCTCTCACTCAATTCCAAGCCCAGGTTCACATGTCCCAGGGTGTTGCGACGAAGGATATCCCAACCTCGGTTACTGCTGCTATGGGACGTGGTCCGGGACAGAGAGGGCGTGGGTAGGGCCAGCGAGGCTCTGGCCAGAGTCCCACTCTCAACCACAGAGGGCAGTTCCTCAGAAAGCTGCTCTTGTCCATCCTCCTTGTCAGGGCACTTGAAGGCTTCCACATAACGAAGCATTCGCAGAGGGTTCTGGTCATGGTGAGTCTCCACCCTAGTTGTGGGGAGGGGAGAGGTAGAGGTGAGTGGTCCATGCAGGAGACTGGAACCATGCAAGGGAGGGAGAGCAGAGTGAAGCAAGGAGAGTGTCCAAGGCCAAGGGCAGACAGTAGAATGGTGGGGAGAGGGAAAGGAGATGGGCAGCCAGGTTCTGGGTCTAGGGCTTGGAGTATCTCAATGTGAATGTGAGAGAGAATGGAACCAGTGAGGATATGCATGTGTCATGAGGACAAGGAGAACACAGTTCTGAAAACACATATAGGAAGGGAGGAGGGGGTCAGAAGCTGAGTGGGAGGGTAATGGAAGAAGCTTGACCAGAATTTAAGAGGGACCCGAATGGCAAGGAGGGAGCACGCGTGAGCCTGCACACATTACTGTCTGGCATACATGAATTCTGGCATTCGCTGCCAACCTTCTTTTTGTCTCTGCACATTGACTCCATCCCCTCCCGCAAATGGCATCACCTCATTGAATGACAACTGCTCTTCCTGAGAGTTCAGGCTGGAGTCTCAAGAAGGAAGAGGAAGGGAGGTATGTGATCTCACATCACTCACCGCAGGTACCAGCGGTCCCCCAGTCCGTACTCGCGCCCACAGATGCCAGAGTGAGGCCACAGACAGCGAGGCAGCTTCCGTTCCAGCATCACCGTGGTGGCCACCACCTGGAAGGAGCCAGAGCAGAGAGAAGACTCAGAGATATGGGGTCTAGAGACCCCAGGTCACTGACAGAGGAGACTAGACAGCATCCTTGACCTTACAGTCTTTCTTGGCCCCATCCAATAGTCTGTCCACACCCCATAATCTATCCCACCCCATAGCCTATCCACCAACAGAGGTGTCTAGACAGCACTGTGGGACAAGAACACCAGATGTCCAACGGTCCTCACCCCATAGTCTGGCTCCACCCCATAGACTGGTTCCACCCCATAGTCTATCCTTTACCTTATAGTCTACCTTAGCCCCTCCCAATCGTCTGTCTCCACCCCATAATCTGTCCCCACTTTATAGTTGGTCCCACTCCATAGTCTGATTCCACCTCACCAAAAGCAGAGATCAGACAGCTCTGCAGGTCAAGGACATTAGGTTAGTGCTGAAGATGGCCATCGGTCTCCACCCCATAGTCTGTTCCCACCTCACACTCTATTCCCCAAGGCCATAGTCTATGTCAGGCACAGGTTGCTCTACACATCTTTCATCAGGAAAGGAGAGAGGATATTTTACCTTTTATTCATATTCAAGAAAAATGAGTCATTCCAAATTAATTTCATTTCCTATTTTCATAGGAGAGTAGTAGAACAACTATCTTGAGTTAAATAAAATGATTAAATACACTCGTTATGATATTGGTATAAAATGATCACGCTACTGTTCAAGGACTTTGCAGCAAATTAAATGCCCTAAGAAGGAAGAAGGCTGATTAATGACTCTGGGAGGGAAATTTCTAGTGACACGTCATGTGTCTGTCCTTTGCCCAGCTCTCATTAATTACTAGATGAAACCTAGAAGACACTCTTATCAAATATGTCTGTGACACGCATTTGGGAAGGCTGGTGACAGAAGCAATATAAAAATGACCTCACCAGACTTGAATGCTAGTGGAATCTAAGGAAACAAGATGGAAAAAGATCAAAGAGCTCAGCTAGGTAGGTCACGTGAAAGAGGTGCAGGGGTTCCAGGTGACCCTAAGCTTCACAAGGGTCAATTACATATTTGCTACATACTTGACTCTGTTTAAGGTGGTATTGATAACATACTAGCATGATCACTCTGTGACACATTGCTCCGTTCACATGAAGAGCATTCTAGTTTTTAAACGAGCATGAACTATTAGGTCATGAACTAAGGGTGCTATCAGAAGGGTTAGGTTAAGGAAGGCTTCATAGATGACGGAGCTAGCAATCCTCAAATGGTCCAATACACTTCCCCACCCCATCTTTCTCAGATCTCCATACTGGCCTTCTTTTGTTTCCTCCTACCTCAGGACTCTCAGTCTTTCTATTCCCTTCCCTGGATATTTCTTCCCTTAAAAATGACGTTTATGGTTTCTTCTTGCTCCATCATTCAGTCCCCACCTTCTTTTGGTAGCTGAACTCATCTTTCATTGGAAATAACTCCTTCACTCTCTCAGTCCATTGTACAGAGTAAACTGAACTACACACAGTCAATTAATCTATTTTCTTCCAAATCCTAAGACCATCATCATCTTCACGACTACTATCTCTCTCAGCACATCACCACTTGCACTTTCACCACCATCATGACCACACTGTCACTATCACCACCTCCACCATCATTTCCATTACAATGACCATCATCGCCACCAACATGACCACTCCCACCACCTCCACCACCATGACCATCTCCACCACCATGACCACTCACTCCCACCACCTCCACCACCACTTTCACCACCACCACCATCTCCACCATCACCACCATCCTCACCCCCACCATCACCATCCCCACCCCATCTAGCACCACTACCACCAGTACCTCCACCATTACTGCCACAACCACAATTTCTACCACCTCCATCACTCTCCAGCTATTGGGGAAGAGACGCTTTATTAAACACTACAGTGTTGCACAGCATCAGGAAGCACACAGAACACAGTATTGATGATGCCCTTGGAACTGTGCAATGTCATATACCTGCTTCTTCCCTGGGGAGTCTGGGGGCATCTATGAGCTAAATCTCCATCATAACAGTAGAACTCAGAAGAACAGAGAATCTGATGTGTGTGAAATGGAGACAGGTTCTGGCCAGACCTACCTAAAGCCAGTTGTTGTTGTTGTTGTTAAGTGCCTTCGAGTCGGAGCCGACCCATAGCGACCCTGTACAGGGTTTCCGAGGGTGTAAATCCTTACGGGAGTAGAAAGCCTCATCTTTCTCCCACAGAGTGGCTGGTAGTTTCGAACCACTGACCTTAAGGTTCGCAGCCCGATTCGTAACCACTACGCTCCTCTAATGTCATTATGAAGATTAACACATCCTTCTTCTCCATGAACCTTTTATGTAAACGTCTGCTTGAGGGTGGAGTTCTGTCCCCGTGGCCAAGAATCCTAAAGGATATAAACCTCATCCTCCATCATAAATGACTGACTACTCCCCATCTTTGTGGCTTCATCTTAAATATTATTTGCCTGGGACACATTTTCTCATTCTCTAATCAGATTCCTTGGTTGAGTCGCCCCTTAGTACCTTGTGCTTCTCTATGAGGATTTTATTATGATCACTGCTGTGCAGTGCAGCTATCTGTAGGTCATTTGTTGTTTGTCTTCCCAACTAGACAACTAGCTTCATGAGGACACCGATGGCATCTGCTGTGGTCAGACTGAGTCCCCAGTTGTGGATATTTCCCCAACTTACCACAGTCTGAATAATTCTATACAAATGGATGAAAGTCAGAGGGGATACATTATGACAACACCCAAGTATGTCATTGGTGCCCATCTGGAAAAGCATGCTTTGTGTTATACCAGAGGAAAAGACTGGGGTTCAAGGAAGGTATCTTAAGAAGCAAGGGTTCAGTCCAGTTCAACATGAACCTTTTTAATAGGATCAACTTTCAACATGCAGAATAACTCACCTATCCCCAATCCATATCCAATGAGATAATACATTCCTAACCCTATACAGGGTCGCTACGAATTGGAACTGACATGGTGGCACACAACCACCACCAATCAATATTCAAAGGAGCCCTGGAAGGTTTAGCATTGGCTACTAACTGCAAGGCTGGCAGTTCAAACACACCAGCCATTCTGAAAGAGACTTTAGAGTACTGGAAACTCTAGGAGAAGTTCTCCTCTGTCCTATATAGACAGGGTCACAATGAGTCAGAATCAACTTGGCAGTGTTTTTTGGTTCAATCAGTATTTAAAAAGACTCTCTGATCAATAAATGATAATTATGCTAGGTAGGACAGCTAAGGTCACTTCCAACTCTAACATCTTAATAGTCTATGATGAAACCAAAAAAAAAAAAAAAAGATCAGAGAGAAATAAGATCTATAGGAGCAAATAGACGATTTGATTCAACAGCAGAAACTAGACTATATGCAAGTAAGATGGTTACTAATTCCCATTGGAATCAAAGATGACTCCTGAACGTCTCCTTCTTCCCTAGGATCAAAATGCCCACTTCTTGCCCCTGTCCTATCTTATTTTTCTTCGCCTTCCTCTGTCTATCCTCAGGTACCTCAGGTTTACATAAACCTCTGTTAAAGCATTAACTCCTGATGTTAAACTAAGGCTCTTTGAGCAGTCCACCATTCTATAACACATGCTGAACGTTCTCTCCATTCCCTGACCCTTAGCAAGATTATTGTTGTTGTCCTTGCATTGGTCAGCATCAACTCATGGTGACCTCATGTACTGCAGGATGCAGTGTTGGACAGCTCTGCACCATCTCCATGATCATTGTATGTCTGAGCCCATGGATGCACCTATTGTGTGAACCCATCTCATGAAGGGTTTTGCTCATTTCCACTGACCCTCAACTTCACCTACATTAGCAGTATCAACACTTAAAAAACTCACCTGGGCCCTCCACAGCTCATCCCGCTCATGGGCCACCCTCCAGTGAGTGTCACCCATCATGGCGATGAACAAATTGAGCATGAGTAGTGTGGCGATGATGGCGAAGGCACAGTAAACCACACTGAACATGAAGGGCAGGTTCACATCATAGTTGGCGGGTCCATCAATGACGGTGAGGAAGAGCTCAAAGGTACTGAACAGAGCCATGGGGTAGTCATAGAAATGCCCCAGGTTGGTTGGGTCCTCCGTCTGGAAGATGATATAGAACGCTGCCCCACCCAGGAAGAAAGCATGGAGATGAGGAAGCAGAGTTACAAAATAAGCATGGACCTGCTTGGCACTCATCATCCTACCTTTGATGTGCACATTTCCATCTTCTCTCTCTCTCTCTCTCTCTCTCTCTCTCTCACACACACACACACACACACACAAGTGCAGATGTATCCATGGGTGCATGGAAGTCACATTTTACCTCTGGAACCAACCAACCCTGAGATGTTCCCTGACATCTGGGTCATGGTAACACTCAGTCACGGAGCAAAAAAATGATACATTCAATAAGTCACCTAACTGGTTTTTACATTTTCGAAAGCCATACGTTTAAAATACGTGTTGTTACAAGAATGCATGGCATCTTCACCAATGTTAAGGAGCTGGATGCATGAAAAGATTAAAGCAAGAGCACTGTTATTATCTCTATGGTCTATAGACCACCACCCATTACCCTGGGATTTCCTGCACAGTGAGGAGCACAGTGAACATCCTGGGATCTCATGGTAGCATACTCTTTGTATGGGGAGCTGAGACATGAACATGTTGAGCCCATCCCAGCTGCAGAAATAGGGTCTATGACAAAACATTGCTTTTTTATGGAAGAAAAAGCAAGTGCAAGGCCAAGAAGGGATAGTTCAGGGGGTTCTATATATAAGGCATCTGCAGAAACAACTCCTCGTGTAATCTGCATATGTGTAGATGCCTGGTAGGGAGCAGCGGGGATGGGGTGGGGTGGCTAAGGATAAGGTTGGTGAGGACTCAGGGAAGTCCAAACAGGCAACAGGATTAGAGCTCAGAGCTTGGTTTCTTTTTGTTCCCTTATCGTTCTGTGGGCCCAGAGTCCCCTGTATTCAGTCTTAATCTATTAGAGTTGGGAGGGGGTGTCTTCCAATATCATCTAACACAATCCCCGTGTTTTATGGGTGATCAGCTGGAGAAATTGGAGGCTCAATGAGATGGGAGTTGTAGGCCTTCCTCTTTTCCTTCTAGGACCCTTCTGCATTCCACGACTCCCTAGGAACTCTCTTCTCCCTATTCACTCCCCCTCCATCCCACTGGCTCTTTCTCCATTCTTTTTCTTCCGTGTTTCATCCTCTCGATCCCTGGTTCTCCTACTTCACTTTGACTGAGCCTCTGCTCTTCTCTGTACCCTCCCCCCCATCTTTCTTAACAACTCCTCTCTTTCTGTTCCCCCTTCTTCAAACTCTGTTTCGGTACCTTCTCTTTCTAATTCTTTTCTTTCTCACTTTAAATGCTCACAAGGATATTGTGTTTTACTGAATGTTTTATGTTTCTTATTCTGAACTGTAAAATGTGGGAGGTTAAACATTGTACTGTATTTGCACACATACTTCTCAAAAGTCCACGATTGGCCAATCTTTCCTGTGCAATGTCCCCCTGTCTCCAAAACCCATTCTTTCCTTCTCCTTTAAAAGCCTTGCTGGGCATTAAGTCAAAGCAGATATAATTGTTTCAGAGATTCAGAACACATAGGTTTCCTTCTAGTTCAATCTGGGTGGGCCAGACCCTTTGGAGTTGGGTATTTTTTTGACTCACATTTTGGATTTGCAAAGAGCAAGAATGAGCATGGGCTCCCTGGAGAACTGATCTGATGGTCAGTGGGGGAGGGAGTGGTGCTCTTACCAGAGGCAAAGCCCAGGATGACCACAGCCATGAGCCAGCAGAACCGCAGCAGGTCTCCAAAGATCATCTACCAGAAACAGAGAAAGGGGAGAGTGAGGACAAGTCCTTCTCCACCTGTCTCTGAGCAGATACCCTAACTGGCCAGGAGGCCGTGATGTTCCGATAAGTCCACCCAAGTAGCCCTCACACCCAGCTCTCCTGTAGCAGGTTCTATGGTTGACCACAGGGGATGCTTGGAGAAGGCACAGACCTTCTGGATCATGATGGTGAAGGGACCCAGCATCTGGAATCCTCGGGCGAAGTACATGACACTGCACCAGCCCAGTACCAGGGCGAAGGACATGGGCACCACCTCCCCGTTGGAATTGGTGAGCCGTAGGACCATGGTGACCAGCACCATGCAGGCGTAGGTGATGCTGGGGGCAGAGGGAAAGGAGGGCTCAGTTATCTTGAGGGTGAGCAGCAAAAGGGTACTGAGACAAACTCTCAAACTCCAGCTTAGTCCTTATACCTTAAACCCACACCCGAGTCCACATCTACACCCACCAGAGAGGATCCCCAAATCAGCTGAGGTCTATATCTCATAGATTTCACTGGAAATGGAAGGACTCAGAGGAAAGGTAGGACCAGAAGAAGGGAACACTCACATGATGACATGGAATGGCCCCCCAAGGATGGTCTGCCCAAAATAGCGAGTGGCCCCAACCCTGAAGATGTCCGGGATCTGTGGAGAGGGAAATGTAAATATGTTGGCTTTAAGCTCCCTAAAGACTTGAGCTTTGTCCGGGTTTCTGGGCAGATGGCCTCACCCACCCACCTACAACTCACCTCTACAAACAGGATGAGCACAGCCCCCAAGACAGACACCAGCTCTCCCACCAATCGGATGCTATCCTGGTAAGTCACATAGGCTTCCTGAGGGGAAAATTCAGGATAAGATATGCTTTCTGGTGGGTGGAGAGCAAAATCCTTTGGAAAAAGATTTTTCTTGTGAGTGTGACCTTATATGTTTTTTAAAGATATTATCAGTTAATATGAGGTCATACTGGAATAGGATGGGTCTTAATCCAATCACAATCGTGCCCTTTATAAAAGAAGAGAGAATCACAGAGGGAGATGGCCATAGGAAAATGAGGTAGAAATTAGATTAGACTGGGCACCAGCTGTCACCCAAGTCTGTGAGGAGAGAAACATCCAACAATTCTTCTCTCAGAAGAATCAACATGGCCAACACCCTGAGTGTGAACGTCTGGCCTCCAGAACTGCGAGACAATAAATTTTTACTCTTACGAGAGTCGCCCAATTTGTCCTGCTTCCTAGGCAGTCCTGGGCACTGAAGACAGTGTCTAAAGCTGCCAAGGACCATCTAAGATGAAGGAAAGGCCCCCTTGCCATCATCACCTCCGCTGCATGTACTACTATGGTCAACTCTGTGACCTGAGTTCAAGATCAAGAACACAAGTTTTCATGTAGGTCTCTAATATGACTGGAGCTGTCACCTGGCTAGTCACCATTTATGTTTGTCCGTGCTGTGAGCAGTAGTTCACGATGCATGCACTGAACAGATGAGTACTACAGGAAGACCTCATAGTGCCTTTAGATTCAGATAGGACGAGACTTACCAAGAAACAGTGGGAATGTTTCAGGAGTGACCAGGATAGGAGCTGCCATCGAGTCAAGTCTGACTCATGTTACTGCTAAGTGTTGTTGGATGCTGAGTCAGCTTTGACTCAAAGTGACCCTGTGCACAACACAACAAAACTGACCAGTCCTGCACCATCCTGGCCATTATGAGACCATTGTTGAAGCCACTGCATCAATTCGTCTCACTGGGGGTCTTCTTCACTTTTGCTGATCTTCTGCTTGACCAAGCATGATGCCATTTTCCAGGGACTGGTCTCTCCTGACAACATGTATATGAGACAGAGTCTCATAGTACTTCCAATATTCTTCAACAACACCATCACTCAAATGCTTCAGTTCTTGTACAGCCTTCCTTACTCACTGTCCAGTTTTCACATGCATGTGAGGTTTTTGAAAATATCATGGCTTGGGTCAGGTGCATCTTAGTCCTCAAAGTGATATCTTTTCTCTTCAACACTTGAAAGAGGTCATTAGCAGCACATTTGTCATTGTTGTTGTTGTTAAGTGCCGTCGAGTCGGTTCCGACCCATAGCGACCCTGTACAGGGTTTCCGAGGGTGTAAATCTTTACGGGAGTAGAAAGCCTCATCTTTCTCCCGCGGAGCGGCTGGTAGTTTCGAACCACTGACCTTAAGGTTCGCAGCCCGATTCGTAACCACTACGCTACCAGAGCTCCTTAAGTGACCCAATATAGAATTTCTAAGACTGCAAATCTTTACAGGGGTAGACAGCCTCATCTTTCTCCCACAGACACTGGTGGGTTTGAAACACCAATGTTCACATTAGTCTCCAACACCTAACCCAAAGCACCACCAAGACTCCATAACAACTCGTGACTAAACTTCAAACATTTATTTATTCTTTTAAAGAACAGACAACCTGTAAAATCCTCTGAGGAAGACCCCCAGTGAGATGAACTGACACAGTGGGGGGCAACAATGGGTGCAAACATAACAATTGTGAGGCTGGCTCAGGACAGGGCAGTGTTTCCTTCTGTTGTGCATGGGTCACTATGAGCTGGGACAGGCTCCTTAGAACAACAAACTTCTCTGATGCTTATCTCACTTAAGAAACTGGGACATTGTATTTTATCATAGAATGGAGAAGGCCTCTTGCTTCCAAGAAAGTGGAGTTCTTTCTTGCAGTCTTGCTTGCTTCTGCAGTCTTGCTTGCTTCTGCAGTCTCGCTTGCTTCTGCAGTCTCGCTTGCTTCTGCAGTCTCGCTTGCTTCTGCAGTCTCGCTTGCTTCTGCAGTCTCGCTTG